CAGCATATAAAAAATTCAGTGTTTAAGGTTCACATTACTGGAACCTTAAACACCCACATTAAATAACATACAAATAACCACAATAACCAAGTATATAAACCCCCCAAATGTATATAAATGACAAAAAAAATCTAATAACTTAAAAGAGTAAATTTAGTAAATGCAAAACAAAAGCAAAGATTAACTATAAAGCTACAAATGGCAAAATATAAGGTAAATCTCGGTTGGCGGTTTTTGAAAAACACGGCTAGCTGCTTTAAGCCTTCAGGTGACCGGCCTACCAGAACAATAAAATGCTTCTTGCTTCACTAAAACAAATGTATTCTGCTAAAAAATGATGACCATGTGAATATTTTAATTAACTTAACAATAGTAGCTTAGCATTCCTTGTTAGATTTCTGAACTGAATAGACTATCTTGTGAGGACCTTCTGGGCGCCACGCCTTGGAAAATCAGACACCACCCAGATGTGGCTGTTTGGGGAGTTTCATGGTTTTCTTTTATGCCCTGGTGTGTCTGTCTTGGACTTTGTTCATTTTTTTTATTTTCCATGAAAAACACATCTATTACAAGAACAGCAGAGCACTGTGTTGAATTATTGTAAAATGTACAATTTTGATATCAGAATCAGAATAAGATGGGTTTTTTTTGTTTTGTTTTTTCAAACCCAACCCAAAAAATAAACGCATCCAACATTAAAGGGGTCATAGAATGATTATATAGGGTATTTGCTGCTGGTCCTTAAGGTCTCTGAATAGACATTAAATTGGTTGGGCTGAAAATGGCATATTTGCTGTTCCATGAGCCCTAATAGAAGCCTGGTTAAAACACCTAGAATGAAATGGCAGGTTTTCTTCCTTTTATGGAAAACAAGCCCAGAACCAAATAAGGCACCATCCCCGAAGTTTAGAATTGTGAGATCTGCAGAGAAAGGAGGTGTCGATGGGGTTTCAACTTCTCTGTACGTCAATTTCACCCACTGAACTATTGTTATTCATGGTTGACAATGTAAATTTGGTTTTGCATTATATGACCCCTTTAAAGCTTGAGAAGTTTACATAATTTTAACCTTTTGCACCTTTATTTCCTCAGCCATAGATCCACTTCACTCTGATTTAATGATTAATCTCCACACTACCTCCACATCACGTATTGCTGTCATTGGCTTTAATACACGTTCAGCATTAAGCATGTTCCCACTGCCAATCCAGACTAGTTGAAAGAGCTGCTTGTGACACATGCTTGTGATTACTGATCACTCGTGGTTTTAATAAGTCAGAGTTATTTGATTATCAGTCAGCTGTGTGTCACTGCATCTCGCTTAATGGCTCATGTTGGTTGTAAATTCTGTGTGCACTGTCTGATACACTAACTCGTACTACTTCCATGTCATCCTCACCAACACATCAAAGCGGCTGGATCGCCACAGTGATGTTTTTCAGCTACAATGTGGGCTCCGCTATAGTGATGCTTATTACAACTCTGCTCTTCACTGTGGTGACCGTATTAATGGCAGTGGTTCTTCTTAAGGTGAGTGTACATTAGCTAAAAAAAAAAAAAGGTTTAACAATAAAATGTGTTTTTTCTTAGATTTTTTTACAAAAGCTCCATAGCAGTGAAAATCATTTTGCCCCTTTAAGGATTTATTCTGTTTTTGCTTTATTGTCAATCCCTAATATTTCAGCTATTTAAACAAGTTCTAATATCGGGTATAGAGTTAATACAAAAAGCAACTGTCCAATAATACATTTTTTGATTAGGAGTAAAATCCTACATCAGAGTATTTGGGCCAGGCTAGAGATTTTTTTAAATATGAAAATAAAATCATAACATAATGAGAATAATGTTGTAACATTATAAAGTCATAATACTACGAGAATAGTCATAATACTATGAGAATAAATTTGTACATTGCAAGAATAAAGTCATACATTACGAGAATTAAGTCGTACATTACGAGAATAAAGTCACAATACTACGAGAATAAAGTCGTACATTACGGGAATAAAGTAAAAAAAATTCTTCGAGAATTCATAATACTGTGAGAATAGTCATAATACTGTCAGAATAAGTTCAGACATTACGAGAATAAAATCGTAACTTACGAGAATAAAATCGTAACTTACGACAATAAAGTCGTTACTTACGAGAATAAAGTCACAATACTACGAGAAGTCGTACATTACAAGAATAAAGTCACAATACTACGAGAATGAAGTCGTACATTACTAGAATAAAGTCACAATACTACGAGAGTAACATCGTACATTACGAGAATAAAGTAAAAAAATTCTTCGAGAATTTATAATACTGCGAGAATAGTCATAATACAGCGAGAATAAGGTCACACATTACGAGAATAAAGTCATATTATGAGAATAAAGTTATAAAATACTTTGAGAATAGTCATAATACTGCAAGAATAAAGTCCTACATTACGAGAATAAAGTAAAAAAAAATTCTTGGAGAATTTATAATACTGCGAGAATAAGGTCACACATTACGAGAATAAAGTTATAAAATACTTTGAGAATAGTCATAATACTGCGAGAATAAGGTTGTACATTACAATGATAAAGTCATATTACGAGAACAAGGTTGTACATTACAAGAATAAAGCCACAACACTATGAGAAAAGTCATATTATAAGAATACAAGAAGTAGTATTACGACTACAAGAATGAAGTCGTAATACTACGAGAATAAAGTCATCATACCACAACCCATTTCAGAAAGAAAGCTTTGAGCTCCGACCAGAATATGACAGCCGACCATCTCCACCAAACAGCAACATGAGTCCACTTTGTCTTAGACTTGCTACTAATTATTTGATGCTGCGCTAAAAGACTTGATATATTCCTTATTTGTGAAACCGATGCCAAAGTATAACTTCACATGATCCTCGACATTACTCATTTTAGGGAAGACGGTGCTTCTTGTAAGAGCTGTCATAAAATACATCTTTATTCTCTTAATACTGTTCTCACAAGGTTGCCGCTTTATTCTCATAATATTGCGACTTTATTCTCATTAATAAAACATGAAAAATCTCTAGCCTGGCCCCAATAATCTGTCATACTATCCAAGCCAACCTGGCTCTCTTTGAAAAAGTTTTATGTTAACTTTTTTTAATCTTAAATTAGCTGTGATTAACTACAACTTTTTTAGCTTGATTTTTAAGCTAATGATTTACACAGTGCCTCCTTGTTGACTGAAGGATATAAAAAAGCAGCACATCATTTACTAAATATGTATCGGAAAAACTATTTTTTTTATTTGGAAAAGAAAACTTGCAGCAGTGGTGAACCTTAACCTACAGAGTCCAACAACCCACCTCAGATTCATCCAGGAAGTAAAGGATGGGAGAAAATGGTCTCCATGTCAGAGTTAAAAAGAGGAGGGGCCTCATGTATGAACATGCAGTCGCACAAAAAACCTGCAGCGCAATAGAAAAGCAAAACACGGCATGTACGAATCTGACCGTTTCAATAGTGTGCGGTAAATTCAGCAAAGTGTGGCAGCAACACAAATGTTATCAATCAAAAAAGCTACTTTCAGTAAAATGAGTCCATTCAGTTTTATTCAACTCCGCCCCCAATAACTGGCTTGTTTTTTTTTTGTAATGTCCTGAATATGTTTAAAATTTAATTGTCTCCACATGGTGTGTGTGGTGATTGTTCCTAACAAAGTCATTTATTCACATAAATGATCTTTTTTTTTTTTTTTTTTTAGACTCTATTATTTTTTTGGTTGACAAAATATCCCGGAAGTGTTTGAAAGTTTTTGTGACTGCCTGAAGTTCCCATTGACATGCTTACTAGAGCCGCTTTCCCACCGAAAACCCGAGTTTTAAAACCCGGTTAACGCGCTAACAGTTTGCGTTTGGCTCTTCTCCTATTTGACTGAAAAGCTGAGTCTGACACCCTGCAGGCAAGCTGCGTTGCCTCTGTCCCCCACCACTGCAGGTCTGATGACGGGATCACGCTGGGTGAGCGAGTGTTGATTATCTCAACAGTTCGAAGAAAATCAGGAAAGTAAACAATGGAGTAGTCAGTGTGCTTTATTGTTTTTCTCTCTTTTCTGTCTGAATCCCGCTCCATGTTTATTGAATGTAAGCAGAGTTGTTTCAGCTTGTTAGATCGGATCGACTGGCGCGGTGTGTTGACGTTCGTACGTTGCATTCAAAGGTATCATGTAATTTAGCGGATCAACTTGGCCCTGGGTTTCCCACAGCATGCCCATCAGAGCAGAGGCGATTCCCACTGCCACTAAAAGCCGATTGTTCCTGGGAATGGTCACCTCATGGGGGTTTTCCGCCACTCTTTGTGGGCGGAACGAAGGTGTTTTTTTATGTACGTTATCAAAAATGCACACACCAGAATAATAAAAGCAAACATATTTTGCAGACACGTTTCAACATTTTAACTTAATTTAGGCGTTAATGAACTATTTCATTGGAGTGACCATGGAGCTCTGCATCAGCTGCGCTGTGTCTGTTTCCCTGCCAGCTCCATGATCAGCTTCTCTGATTGGTTGATGTGGCGCATCGAGCAGCAAAAGGTCAATTTTTCTAACTCCAGAATCTGCTGCTTGTGCAGCACGTCAGTTGCTCAGAAGCTCATGAGGCGCTGTTGCAGCTGCTTCGATGCATCAAGATGCGCTGCTCCTGCAGCTTGAAACTCGCTGCAGGACCTTTTGACTTTGCATGTAAACTAACCCCCTCTGCTGCTTCAGCAGCTTACGGTCTGAACGTAGTTGTTTTGCCAGTGGGAAGAGAAAATGTATTATGAAATTCAGCCAGGATTGAGATGAGTCGGCAATAAAGATGCACCCTCAGAACACACAAACTGTTTCTGCTAGAGTAAAATGTGTCATTTTATTCCGCCACAGAAAACAGCAAAGCAAGCACATCAATCAAGGCACGGTGCTGAATACAAATTATATTGTCTCAATACAGTTTATATTGTCCCTCTACCGTGACACAAGGATCGGAGGGCCGGTCGATCCCGGCAGGCCAGCAACCCGCGCAGCTAGGCGTCTGTACGCAACCCTAGCAGACCCCGCCAGTGCCAACCACCATCCATCATTTATGCCAAACTTCAAAGGAAAATCTTTCACCCAATCAGGAAAAGTGATTGCTCCCTCTCACGCCTGGAGCGCATGATTACAGAAACCAAAATATGGAACGGGCACCCCCCGAACCCGAAACCACCCAGGGCTCGTTGACAGCCGAAACCAAAAACATTATTACATCATGGTCAAAGCCTGGTACCGAGAGCTGGTAATAAGAGTGCTTCATTTGTGATACAAAACTTGTATGATTGTCAAAGAACCTAAAATATAAAACCTATATATATCAGAACCAAATGCTTATTGTTAGCAGTGTCGACCCATGTTTGAAAAACACACGTTAACCTGCTATTTTCAATGGGAAAGAGGCATATCACTATAAACGGAGAGATTATTTTTTCCCTTAGTTTTGATGATTCTGTCTTGCAGCTAATGACAGAAAATTTAGTCGATCACAAGCCTTGGATGTAGAATTTTACATACAGAAACACTTTTTTTTTCTTGCATTCATAATCATGGAAAAGCAAGAAAATAAGACATCTTTACAGCATAAAGTTTCTGACACCTTTCACAATGATGGTGAGCCACAAGGAGTCGCTGCTGTTTTTAGATATTTGTATCCAAGCAGACATTCCTGATCCTAATATAAGGAAAAACATTTTTAAGATTGACATGTCATGCTTCTGGATCATAGCCAGCTTTAAATTGGTAAAATGACAACAAATAATAATAATAATTTAGGGCAACCATTTGATAAAATTATAAGGTATTTTCTCGAAATCTAAACTGAGCTAAAGTGTCTCAGTGTTGGGTGTAGTCCTCTGGATGGCGTGCTTGATGCGTCTCCAAATGAATCCATGCTGTGAAGATGGCTTCATGGAGAACATCAGCGGTCTGCATCACATGAATGCGCAGCATGATCTAATAGACCTGCTGAGAGACTCTGCCTCCACCTCACAAATGGTTTTTGTTTTTTCCCCTGAGACGCTGAGTTTAGGGTTTCCACCCAATAGCTGTAAGCTACATGTAAATTACCAAAAATAAAACCTGATCTATATCACAGATTAAACTGTTTGTGACAGTTTCTTTTTTTAAATGCATCACTAGAGTAATGTAACTTTTTGAAGTTATTCTTCTTCATAGAGATCATGTCCCTGTACCTCATGTTTTCATGTCACAGGTGCACAGGCTGTACCGTGGCGGCGGCGGCAGCATGGAGCGCGCTCAGGAAGAGTGGAGCAGCGGGCTGTGGAAGAGTGCACCGGTGAGGGAAGCAGGGTTCAACGCCGTCGCTCAGACCGCCCAAGGCCCGACTCTGCCTCAGTACCCCACCTCAGTGCCCAGTTACCCAGATGACAGCCAGTGGTGATGGCTGGGAAATTCCTCTAGGGGGAGACAAACCATTGGTCATTTCTACATTGCTGACAAAAGCACTTCAAAATGCAGCATTTCAGATCAGAGATGGGGGGGATTATTTTTTTTTCATTTGATTAAAGGAGAGATTGGCTAATAAAGATTTTTTTTTTTATTAGAAAGTTTTTGTCATCAAAAGAAGCTAAAATGTTTTGACGGTCTTAAAAAAATTGCCATTCTTTTTTTGACTTTGTTTACATAAAGTTAATAAAAAAATAGACTTATGTGGAAAGAAAAAAAAACTGGATTGCTTAAATGATTGCAGAACACTTTAAATGTGTGCCTTATGGATCTGTGTAGTGCTAGGTTTTTGTTTTTTTTACAAAGCCGCATGCTACACTATGCAGCATGAGTTGTTTTTTATTTCAGAATAAGTTTTAGTTTGATGCTTTAATGCTTTCTCTGCCTTCCCACAGAGCGCATTATTGTTGCAGGTTTTGCATGTTGGAAAAAAGTCTCCAGCTTGGCTTGCGCCTTATCAGAAGCTTTTGCTTGCATTTTTGTTTAACTAATCTTATGCTTCAGTGAAGCAACTTTTCTGTTTGATACCCGACTGAGCACTAATACGCCAAAACACTGACCTCCTCCCATTACGTCTCCATTTAAAAAGTCGCACCCAAACTTGCATTGTGCCACAGAATGTTTTGTTCTAAAGCTAATCTGTTGCTTTCAGTGGATGAAAGCACGTATCTGCTGCCGAAACGATCGTTTAATTTTCGTATGATTGCTTATTGAGAACAATAAGCTTGCATGGAGCCACTAATACTTTCAGCTGATATCTTGCCATTAGACATACCCAGACTGAAATATGCACGTATCGATGGATTACCGGCTGTCCGGTTTTGTGTTCTACTTGATTTTTGCCATTCCAATTCTACCTGCTTTTTATGTGAGAAATCAAACTCTAATCATGGGCCTGTTAAAGCTTGTCTGAAGTTTTAATCACATAAAAAAAATGTGCCTGCATTGTAGATTTGACATTTTATTTGCCTTTCTGATATAAAGTGTCCTTCAGGGCCGACTGCCAAATGTTTTAAATCTTCTGTATTTAGTTTCTGAAAATGAAGTGGTCCTGTGAAAGAATACGTATTGCAAGATTTCAATAAATGACTTTATTTACACTGTGTGTTTGGATTATTTCACCATAAAACACATGTTCTGACATGTTTCCTCAAGTAGCTGGTATTGAATCAGTTTGGTGTTAACATAAATCTTGCCACTGCTGAAAAATAAAACACTTTAGCAGATTCTCACATTACCTTTATCCTACTTCTCCAAACGGGGCGAGTCTTTAAACATAGACGTCAGAATATTCTATCTAGCAGAAAATAATGCACTAGATAGTAAGTAAAAGAACATTGATTGAAGTGTATATATATATATAGGCTATTTGTATTTTATCCTCATGGAGAAAAGCGAAGACAGAAGCTGGATGGAGCCAAATATGTGGCTATACTGGTAGAAACCTGCAAAAGGGTAAAAACATCTTAAAATTAAGGTCCTGGCTTTTATTTTTAGCACAGAAACACGCAGTCAGGGCTTCAATGGAAGAGTTAAAAAGCTGTTTAAGTGTGATTGGTCAATGTTTAGGTCTAAATCGATTTAAGGATGCCTGAGAATTGACGTCTACGAATGTTTTCCATTTTATCTAACTTCACTTGAGCTATTTTTGCAAAAGAGAATGGCCAAACAGTTTAGTCTAGATGTTCAAGCTGGTTGTGATCTAACTTGTACTGCAACTAATAATTATTTTGCAGATCAATTAATCTGTTGATTATTTTTTGATTGATTAATAATTAGCAAGAGATTACTTAAAGAAAATAGTTTACTGAATTAAACCAGATGAAACTAAACCTTTTCCCCTTGAGGAGTTCTGGATAGAAGATATTGACAGATTGGAAATATTTGTATCTTAAATGCAAAATGTTTACATAGTTTGTGTTGGGTCGCTCTCTCAGCTAAAGGCCTGTTTTAGAGCCTCTTTTACTCCAGCTAACTATTAATTACTGAATAAGTTGACGATTAATTCAATAATCGATTAATCACAATAATTGTTTCAGCCCTAGATCTACCCATAAATAAATTTCAAAAAGGTGCCTCTTTATTTTCTCAGTCCTGAATAAAAATTCTGATTTTAAGAAAGAAATTTTTCCAAAACCAAGCATTCCATTATTATGCACTACCTGCATCGATCTGTCATAAAATCCAATGAAATGTGAGTTTTTCACTAGTAAAATTCTTTTATCATTGTATTTTTTGAAATAAGCCAATTTCATTTAACCTTTCAGTTAGAAGTAGTGTTATTCTGTCTTTCCAAGCCTTGTGGCATTAGCATTAATTATCTAAAAAAAGATTATTGAAATAATACATGTATGCATCAGCAGTATTTTTTTTTTTCCATCTGCCCAGGAGCAGTTTTCATCCCTAATTATGTACATGACAACTTCTTTATACCACAGTGATAAATATTTGATGAGACTCTCATTGCATCCCTTTCATATCAACACTGGTATGAGATGAAGCAAAGGATGGTTTCTGGCGTAGGTGTTGATGGAAGTGTGAAAAACTTTTTCTATGGGTTGAGATCAATGAGCTGTGAGCCCTGTTATATGTTTCCCTACATTTCAACATTCTCAGTAAGAAAGAAACCCAAAAGTTGTAGATTATGTGAGAAAAATGCAAATATTCACAGATATTCTTTTTTATTTATTTGAACAAAGGCAGCTTTTTTTTCCAGATCACCAAATTTTGACATGCGTTCAACCTTATGGTTATTTTGCGACCCTTAATGTACACCCACACCCCTACATTCCTGCAACAGCTTTATCTTTTTCAGAGCAATGTGGCAGCAGGGATGCCCAGTTCAAGCCTAGAGGAGCGACTGTCCTGCAACCTTTGGATGCATGCCGCTCTCCGACATGCCGGAATCAAACAAGTGGCTCATTACAGCCCGGCTGTTCAGTTTAAGGGCTGCAAAATAGATCAATTTAAGAAGTTACAGCTTAGCAAGTGCTGAGGCTCAGTTGGGCATCTCTGCATCTCTGACCGTAATTATTTAAAATAAAGCTGTTTACCCCAACATAAAAAAGGCCCATGCTACACATCATGACCATAACAGTTATATTTTGTTAAAGTGGAAAAGAATTAATGAAATATGGCTTTTGTAAATTCACTAAATTAGTGTTTAAGGTTATAAAGGAGAGACATATTCACTTTTGCACATCTACCAGGAACATCTGTGGAAGATCTGTGGAAGAATGATCTTACAGCAGGACAGGAAATGTGCTTGGAGGTTGGCCACCGATGTGCGACATATTCAGAGTTAAAAGATGCAGCAGGTTAAAGATGCAAACTCTCAAATAAATATTCCAAACAAAATAGCATTGACTGTACACAAACATATGTTACACGCACCGTATTCACAAATTACTGTCCTACAAAAATATGAAATATATAAAATGTAAAAAAAAGCATTTTTAGAGCTGGGTTTGACAACTTAAATGTCCTTTCCATGGAATATCAGCTGCCTGGAAAAGACTTTGGAAATTCCCCAGGAAAAATGGATCCCATTTAGTATTCAAAGGTGGATCTCAATAAGTTAGCATATCGGCAAAAAGCTCATTTATTTCAGCAATTCAGTTCCTGAAATATTTTAACCATTTATCTTAGTTATTGATGACTGCAATTCAGAGATATGACCCCAAAATTCAGTTTTTTTAAATTAGAATATTACAAACAACCAACGAATGGATTATTTTAATACAGAAATTTAAGGTTATATCCTTTAAAATTAACGGGAGGGAGGCTCTTTGGACAGTTCTCCGGCAGACAGTCACTGACTGAAGGTAGAGACTGTTTTTAAAGAGAATGAATGGAAAATTGGGTGGAAGGAAAAAGTGTGGAAAAAAAAGGATAAACAGATAAGCTGAACCAAAAAAATAAAATATAACTCAGTACAATATATAATACAGTATAAAATATAATCCATTATACAATATGATTGTAGTATAAATGGATTTTATGGTTTCATCCGCCATATAGATCTATATAGTACATGACTTTGAACTGAAGTGACGTTAATGAACTTTTTGCTGATATTCCAGTTTATTGAGACGTACCAACATAATGTGAAACATGTCCCTCATCAGAAGTACACATGTTGGGGGGGGGTTATTATTGCACCAGTGCAGAGCTTGGACTGAGGTGTGTGGTCAGCTGAATCAAATCTCTGACTCATCATGGATTAATCCCAGACCCGCCAACTTTTCAAGTCTGGCCGAAGGCTGGAAATGGTACGCTCCGTTCCCTTTGAAGTCCTCAGCCGTGTGATTATTGTTGGCAGTGCACGGTCTCCCTGCCTCAGCCTGCAGGAGCTTAATCTCAGAGTTTCTGTTCTGGACTTCCACGTAGTCGTTCGCAGGCCTCTTCCCCTCGGCTCTTTTGGAGCTGTGCACAAAGCTGAAACACTTCCATTGCCCTCGCTTGCAGAACCACAACATGACGCCGATAAGCGAGAGACAGAGCAGCGACAGCAGGGCCACAGCCACCTCCAGGCGGCTCAGCTTGCCAGTGTTGCTGTAATTCTCAGACTGCGGCGGGACCTCATTCCCACCATCCAGCCCTGGCTCAGTTGCAGCCACTGTATAGCCTTGAATAGAGTATTTTGTCACGGTTGTCCCAGGAGAGGGGCTGACAGGGAGCGGGGGCTCAGAGAAAAGCTGTAAATGATAAACCACCATGGTTTTGTTGTACATCCTGCTGTTTATCTGCTCCACTGAGTCACAGACGTACGAGCCTGCGTCTGATACAGACGTGTTCAGGATGAGGAGGCCTCCGCTGTAGACGTAGTATTTGTCGTTAGTTTGAAGCTGAAGGCCAGAGAACCTCCAGTGGACCTTCGCCAGGTTGGAGTGAGGCTGGCAAGGCAGCTGGATGTTGTTCCCTGGAACCAGGTCCAAGTGGACAGCTTCTACCGGATCTATAAACATCACACAAACAGCAGGTTAAATGGAACACCTGCTGATAGAGCTGGTAACTGATAAAGGCTTCCAGTGAACACACCTGGTGAAGGACACTCTGACACGTCCCCATCCTTCAGGCTCTGAACCACAGACTGTGAGTCTGCAGACAATCCGCGGACAGAGCAGCAGCGTTCAGCGGAGGAGTCCCAGGCACAGTAGGGATCCCTGGACAGGATGCAGTCCTCACACGACTGGTGGCGGCTGCAGTCACTGACGGGCAACTGAACGGCGCCAGATTGAGAACCCACATAGATCTGGCCCTTCGGATGTAGAAAAACAGACAAAAATCAACCAAATGTGTTTGGGCTTCATGGATGTACGTTTTTAAAGCGAGCGGCTGTTACCTTGCTGGATGAGAGGCTCAGGCTCCTGATGGCCACGGGGTTTTCATACACCTGGATCTGCTCGATGATGAACATCTCTCCATCAAAGTTTACAGCCTTCTGGATGTAACCATTTTCTGTAATGAACATAAATCAGAAATAATTGTAGTTTCTGAGGAAGACAATTTAGCTTTTTAATAAATTTTCACTGTTTTCTGACCTGCGTCTGGTTCTTGCTGTACAGTTCTACCTTTTTTCTTATTATTCAAGTCTTTCATGTACCTCTATGTACCACTAACACAGGACTTTCACCTCTGGGACAATAAATTGTTTATTTCGATTCTGTTCTACTCCTTGATGATAGACCAAGGCAAATGGTGGATACTTCTTCTGGATATTAAGCAGTGGTGGCGGTCAGAGCCTTCACTGCTGGCCTAAAATCAATCAGAAACACTAACCTACAGTCATAACCTAAACTTTAATTTTCTTTGTTCCAACTGTATTAATTCATTACAAACAATCTGCTCTGTTAATTTTGTAGCGTTTCTCTTGGATGCGCTGTTTTCATTACATTTATCTGGTTGCTATATCAGAATCAGCAGTGCTAGCTGATGTTACCTTAACAATATTGGTGAGGAACGTTTTCTTCAACCAATCAGATTTCAGTTTTGCCCCAGGATGCAGCTAGAGGACCCTCCCCATACGTCAGCATTTTCTGTCCTCTGATTGGTCAGTTAGAGCAAAACGTTTACAGCCAAGTTAACTAGCGACAATTTGCATTTAAGATTTGTTTCTGGCCTCAATGGCTTACTTAATGGAGATACTAAGACTTCCTGCACAAAGACAGAGGAATGAATTTTGTTTATAAATAATCAGCATCTCTGGTGAGTGTGATATATGCTATTTTCATGCTTAATTCTCTATTTTATGTGGTAATTAGATGTGGTCGGTCGGTTCAGTCCATATACACCACCCGCCACTTAAAGTATAGCTGGCTTTAATCTGATGCTGCCACAGCTTGATTTAGGTTTGACTTTGACTTTAATTCTAACACCTGATGATTATGCTTTGATTGAATCCACTCTACTTTATTATCATCCTGCTCTGAGGTGAACCCTGGACTCAGTCTAAAGTCTTTTTCTGAGTTATCGCAGGCTTTAGGGTATCCTGCAGGTTTCTGCGGACGGTGCAGGTGTTTATACTTGATGCAGACCTTGTTACCGTATTCTCTGAAAATACACTATTAGCATAGGAAATATGGTCAAACATGTTCTGTCTTCTATCAAATGCATACTTTCTTCTTAACTTGATAAAGTTTCTTGGAAAGTTTTAGACCCATAGAAGTAAAAGGATAAAGTGGAAACTGCCTTTGGACGTTTGCTGTA